GACCAGAGACGGGTGCGCTCAGGCGTGCGGTGACTGCCAAAACCCAATAACCCGTCTGCGCGTGACACACACGACTGAACCCCAAAAAAATGCACAAATCGGGTAATATTGGAGTACGAGGAGCTCGGATTCTACATAAACGACAGTTCCAAATAGGATACATTAAGATAGAGTCATTTCGGATTGGCCCTTGGTTCTGCGTTCAACCAGATTACTTCATCAGCTTAATATTTTCAAAGAACCCTAACAGTTGATGCTAAAAAACTGATACCTGGAATCAGAGGTGGACCGACCTCCTATGTACAGATAACTGACTAGAGAGAGGTTGGATACAGTAGCCGACGCAAGATTAAACGTCGTCATACGCACACATACCTAAGCGTACATACTGAGCGAAGAAGTCAAATGAGCAAAGCATGCACATATGAAGTTTGCTAGTAACTGGCGCTCTAACAGTTCGACGAGGTCCACCGTACAGCAGGGCGGTGCAGAGACGGTGAGTTCCGTTGGATTATGAGAGTATACTTGCGATGCATCTACCTCTCCGTTTCACTCGCTCGCCTGGGCTCGATGTCAAGACGGAGTCGAGAAGACTGAGGCTGGGAGAGGACGCGGGCCCACGTACTGTGGACCACCAGAACCAGAAGACCACAGCAAATTGGGGAGGCAGCTTGGATTCCAGCTGAGTGGGAGTACCATAAAGGATACACTAAGAAGGAGCCATTGCAGCCTGACTCTCAGCCCGCTAGTTAGCAACTCCATACAACACATACTGGACTGACCGTGCGGTTCGAGTTACCTGTCAGTTAGTAACGTTCCAACCCAAGGGTTTTGGCGCTCTGTGATATCTTCAAGCGCGTGAACTGGTGGTCCTCGATGCCACTAACGTATGAGGTACTCCATTGACCTTGACTTTGAGGGGCCGTTAGGCGTAACTACGCGTCTTTAGTTAACATTCTGCCAATATTTTCCCCTCTGTTTTGTGTTATTAGTGGGAACATGAGCAGCATATAAGACAACAATGCTTCTCCGACATATATGAGCAGGTCTTGCGTTCGAAACATTGTGTGCACTAAGGCGCTAGACGATAAGAGCAAAAGCCGTAACACGAAGCTAGATAGTGACCTTTTTACTTGAATGCGAAAAGCCATACCTCGCGCATCATTTACTTGCTATGACTCCATAATAGGGATGCTACAACCGACTGCTAGTATTTTTCACTAGAGAATTGTTTTTATTTCCAACGCGCTCGAATTTGAATTTGTTCGTCTGACTCGAAATGAAAAAAACGTTGCTTAAATACGTGATTTGAAGATAATTCGTGGGTCTTACTTTCAAATCTATACCTCAAGTAAATACCAACTGGCAACGCTGGTGTATGGGAAAAGGAAGAGGCGGGCCTTACTACAATGCCGATTAATTACAATGACCAGAGAATTCTTCACCCGGATCTTCCCTGCTGAAGGGACAAAGCTCTTCCGGCAATAAAATAATGAATAAAATCGTATAAAAAAGTTCATGCATAGATAAGTTACTTGAAACTGACCGTATAGGTGGACAGATGTACAGCAACAGGGCAAAAAGCGCCATAATACCAGAAACGATGATTTTGAAGTTTTCGTAATTATTTTTGTAGGCGAATCTATGCGGATGTGTAAGAGAAAAATGGCACAAACTTTTCTTGTTTGGTGGTGAAGGAGACATTAACAGCGCCAAGGACCACGTTCAGGTATAGCCTGAGTGATAAATTTGTTGGTAATTAAGAGAAATAATGACAAACCTATTCTTCTTCGGCAGACTCTGTTCCATCTCGCTAAGTATCAACTTCTTCGCCTCAAAACGATCCCTAATGACTGCCAATTCAACGGCTTCATGTATATCGTCTGTGTCTTGAAAGCTGCAAAATGTTTTCAATGAGGAAAAATAGGACGCCTACGCCTGCATTTGCCTCATTAGCATTTGTATGTAAAGCCTGTAGTGCTTGATGTCATGAAGACAGGATTGTTGTTTTGACCGAATTTCTTCGCAGAGGCTAGTGTACTCAAAGTGCTTTTGCTAAAGTAATCGTGATAATAGGGGCATACAAAGACATACCTCGAAATCGGCAAACTCTGAATCAAAAGCCTCCACGCTTTCTCTAAACTTGTCCATCTAAATATGAGAGTAAAAAGAAGAATGAATGACATTGTAACATTCTTATTACCCTATACGGTGTGTGAAATGTAATACCAAGATAGAAGATTGAAAGTTACCTACCGTTGGACTGTATGTCGAATTAAAAGAAGAATAGGGTGGATCAAATAACTGAAGAGTCTTACTTTCAAAGAGTTGGAACACCAGAATGGTCATCTATGGCACACTCGGGTTTTTAAGTTGGGTCTAATGGGGTCCCATGTTCTCTGAGCTTCAGCTAATGCATTAGTCCTCTGTTGACATAGATGAGGTGAGTAGTGTTCATCGACTTCTCCAACTTCAGGAAGGAGACGGGAGAATGCCCTTTTATTCCAGAACTCTAAGCGTGCAAGGCATATGCAGGTCCTTTACTTGTCCCTAATATCCGCCTTCAACACTTCTTAATGATGGCTCGCTCTTCGTTATGCAACGGACCAGAAATGCCCTGCGCTACTTATATCCTTCTAAGACAATCCTGTTCCGAAAAAAAGAGTCAAGTCGACTATACTAGCTCCAAGACTAACAATTTAACAAAAATTGCAGTAGCAGGTGATGGTCGCGGACATATGGTTTAGATATTTGGCACAATAGTGTAAAAACCGAAATTCTTCGGATTTTCTGAAAGTTGTCTTCAATTATCTATGAAAAAAATATTTGTTCCGTAGTAAGCATTATAGGGTTGATGGAGAGGACTTGCAAAGCATGACTGCCGCTTTCTGCCTTTTTGGTATATACGTAAGCGTGGCACTTTGCAAAATTTGTGAACGAGCAATACGTACTTCAAGAAATAGATAAAAATAGTTTTTCAGTAGAAATTATGCCTCTGCCGAGCTGGATATACCTTCATGCAAAATTATGTAGCGTAGGACATAGATAATGACAAAACACGCGTGGCTTATAAAATTAGAAACCTAAAGTTTTCTTACAACGTAATTATCTTTATTAGCAAGTCTGATCTCATGAAAATGGTAGAGGAGAAAAGAAGGCATAAATTAAGTTGCTTAAATGAGCTAGGACTCAAAAACATCAGTGGGTCATGCAGAGCCCGCGAGCAGTTTCTCAAGGATGAGAATTGGGACGATCAGCAATAATTTGTATAGAAGGTCTAAATGGGGTGGTTTTGAGTCACCTCTCAAGTACAGTCATACCTTAATTGGACACAATGAAATATTTTTACTTAAGAAGATCTAGTCCGAGTTCGTATTCTGAATGACCAAAGCGCCTAAAAACAGGGCGAGCATCTCACTCGGTTGCAAGTAAACTCTGAGTCCGATTGTTAGTTCTACTTTTTCTTGTTACCGTGCTGCTACCGTTTAACAACGGATTCAGGACCTTTATGTCGGTTACGGTCCTTGCCGTTTCTTACTACGGAGCGGGTATTTTTTAA